ACAATAGCATTAAAAAAAAGAGAAATATTTAGGAATAATCTAATGAAGGAAGCAAAAGACCTTTACATTGAAAACTACAGCACTCTACAAGTGCAAGGACCCGAGTTCGATCCCTGGTACCAAAAAAAAAAAAAAAAAAAAAAAAGGGGGGGGATTAGATCCTCACCCAACACGCTCAAATAGAGTTTGCAGAGGATATAAGAAAACGGAAAGATATCCCTTCTTCCTATGTAGGAAGAACCAACATAGTGAAAATGGCCATACTACCAAAACTGCTATACAGAGTCAATGCAATCCCAGTTGAAATTCCAATGCTATATTTCTCAGAACTAGAGAAAACAATCCAAAAATTCATTTGGTATCACAATCCCCAACTTGAAACTATACTACAAAGCCACTGTGATAAAAACAGCTTGGTACTGGCAAAGAAACAGAACCGAGGATCAGCGGAATAGATTGGAAGATACAGAAACAACTCCAGATGTACTCAGCTACCTCATCTTTGACAAAGGAGCCAAGCATTCTTAGTGGAGGAAAGATAGCCTCTTTAATAAATGGTGTTTGAAAAACTGGATTTCAACCTGCCAAAGATTAAAACTAGACCCTTATCTTTCACCATGCACTAAACTAAAATCCAAATGCATTAAAGATCTAAATATTAAGGCAGAAGCACTAAATATGCTGGAAGAAAAGTTACATAGAACTCTTGACGACAGTGGTATAGGAAAAAACTTTATGAATAAATCCTCAGTAGCATGGGACCTAGCACAAAGAATCAACTACTGAGATCTCATCTTATTAAAAAACTTCTGCACTGCAAGAGAAACCACCAACAGAGCTAAGAGACAGCCTACAATGTGGGAAAAAAATTTTACCAGATGTTTCTCAGACAAAGGACTATTATGTAGAATACATAAAAAACTAAAAAAACAAAAATAGGCCTCCACAAATGTAAAGACCTGATTAAAAAATGGGAATCTGAAATGAATAGATATTTTTCAGACAAAGAAGTAAAAGCAGCAAATAAATATATGAAAAAATGTTCCACGTCACTGGTCATTCAAGAGATGCAGATGAAAACAACACTGAGATTCCACCTCACCCCAAAATGAATGGCTGCTATCAATAAAGCAACCAATAACAAATGCTGGTGAGGCTGTGGGGAGAAAGGAACCCTTCTCCATTATTGGTGGGAGTGCAGATTGGTGCAACCACTATGGAAATCAATATGGGGATATCTCAAGGAACTAGGATCAGAGGTTCCATTTGACCCAGCTATTCCTCTAATGGGTATCTTTACGAAAGAATTAAAAGAATCATACCACTGTAATATATGTGCACCCATGTTTATAGTGGCAGTTTGGAATAACTAAAACTTGGAAACAGCCCAATTGCCTATCAGTTGGAGACTGGATAATGAAGATGTGGTTTTTCTATAGAATGGAGTACGACTCAGCCATAAAGAATGAGAAACTAGAGTCATTCACAGGAAAGTGGATGCATATTGTGGCCATACTCAAGTGAAATAAATTAGATACACATGTGTAAATAAATACTGAATAGTTTCCCTGGTGTGAAAAACTAAAAGTGTAAATAAAATCCAAATTTTATACCTGATAATGTGAAATAGGAAGAAAAAGGCTAAAGGTATAGGGGAAGTGGAAAGGGTAGGGGAAAGGAAATAAGGGAAAAGAAAAAATATGAGAAAAGGAAAAGATGGAAGCAAAATCTTTGTAAATAGAGAAGGGGGGGGTGAAGGGAGGGCAGGGGAATGGAAAAAAATGAGAACCAAGACCTGTCATGTAAAGGTACAAGATCCCAATGATGAATGTAACTGTACCGTATACCTAAAAAATACCAAGAAGCTCAATGAAAAAAACCAAAAACCAATAAACAAAACTGGCTCTGAAAATGCAAAGGCGGAGGTGGAGTAAGAATTCCAGCTTTACATGAGGTGGTCAGGGTGAGCCGCACCAGGATGGCAACTCTGATGCGAGGAGAGCAGGAGGCCTGCGTGTCTCTGGTAAGAATGCACTAGGGGCCAGGGATGTAGCTCAGCGGTTCTGCTGCCTGCCTCACAAGCGCAAGGACCCGAGTTCGATATCCAGTGCCAAAAAAAAAAAAAAAAAAAAAAAGAATGCACTAGGGATGCATTACCATGGGCGAGGTTCACCATCTTCATTAAGAAACAGCATGGAGGTCCGCGAGTGCGTTGAGAAGTAAGGCGTGAGCCAGAGAGGTCATGAGGGCCCATCTGGGCTTTGATAAAAAGGCGTTTCCCACCTCATGAGAGGGTGTGGCTTCTAGGTACCACGAAGCCTCCATTATTCGCCTAATTCCTTATCCTGCAGTCTAAATAGCGTTTATCTACTTTAAGTGTGCTATAGACTGAATTGTGTTGAATTCTTATGTCAGAACCCCGATCGCCAGTACCTCAGAATGTGGTTCTATTTGAAAGTGGGGTTTTTGAAGAAATAATTAAGTTAAAATGAGGCCACCAGGAGTGGGCACTAAACCCATATGACTGTTATCCATGTTGGGACAGATTAGGACACAGAAGTGCTCGGAGGGATGACCACATGAGGACACAGGAACAGATGGCATCTATAAGCTAAGGACAGAGGTCTCTGGAGAAATCAAGCCTGTGACACTTTGATCCCAGCCTCCAGCTCTCCCTACTGTGAGGATGTGCATTGTTTAAGCACCTGCACCACCTCCTCACCCCTAGTCCAGGATACGATTTTGTGGCTGCCCAAGCAAACCAATAAAGTATATTTTAAAATATTGACCTGCTTATGTCCTTGGAATGTTGGGCAAGGGTAATTCAAAAAGTTTCAGGACAATAGCCTGGGTTTGTGCTGAGGTGATAAAAAGAGTCCCAAGTTCACTTTAAGGCACTCCTCAGCAATCAAGGGTGTCCAGGTAATAATTAAAAATCTTCTGCCCCTGTTGGGCCTGGTGTAAGCCAGAAAGTTTCTCTCTCCCATGCCTTGTCCACCGGAAGCTCTCCTACCTTACTTCTGTTGATCAGCAGCCAGCCCACAGGCCATGTGGGCTCCTAATCCCGCCTTTCCCAGACCTTAGGGGCTGTGGCTTGAGCTTCCAAGTTTGTTTACTATTCTTTTCCTTAGAGAGGGGCTCCCAGATTATGAAAGCTTCAAGCCCAGAACCTGGATCTGCCCCTGCTTCCAATGCCTATGTTCTCCCTGCCTCGAGGGACTCTGGCTACATCCGCCTGCCTGGATACTCCTCACATGACAGTCCTCACTCCTTCAAACTCAGAGACACGCCCCACACTCTCCTTGGGTGGCCCCAGAGCCCCTTTCACTAAGAGGTGAAGACCACGCTTACTACCACTCACCCCTTGCCACCTCCCCACGCTCTCACCCATACAAGTCTCCTGAGAACATTTATCTCTATTCTCTTGACCTTTTGATTTGACTCTCATTGCTTCAGGAATCTCACTTGTCAGTTCTGCTTGCAGCTTCTCAACATATGCAGGGTGCAGCCCTCGCCCTGGACTCAGGGCCCCTCCATTGATGTCCCCAACGTAGTATCCAGTTGCACAAAACAGACCCACTTTAAATGGAAACATTACATTGTTGGTTTCTCCGGTTTGATATATTTTAGCTATGCACTGAATGTTAATGTCCCCCATCCTCCAAATTTGCATGATGGAGTCCTAATCCCAAAAGAAGTGGGGGTCTTGGAAGGTGATTAGATCATGAAGGTGGAGCCCTCTCCTGCCATTAGTCCTTATAAAAGAGGCCACAGAGAGCTGCTGTGCCTTGCCCACCATGTGAGGACACAGCAAGATGGTGCCGTTGTCTATGAACCAGGAAGAGGGCTCTTCACCAAATCCTCTATAATCTGGATCCTGGACTTCTCAGCCCACAAAACTGAGAGCAATACATTTATTTATTTATTTTGATGTCAGGGATCAAACTCCAGCCCTTGCACTTATGAGGCAGGCAGCGGAACCACTGAGCCAAATCCCCGGCCTCTGAGAGTAATACGTTTCTGTTGTTTATAAACCAGCCTGTCTCTGATATTTTCTTATAGCAGCCCAAAGGGGCCAAGACAAAAATATACTGGAATATTACAATAGAAATGAAACTATTAGAATTGAAAATACACATGCATCACCAGTAGAAACTGACTGCTCTGTCATTTGGGAACCACTAGGTTGACAGAAGACCAAAATGAGCCTTGGTGTAAGAGCACAGCCCAGGATAGTCCAGAGGGGAGGAGAGATAGCTAAATTGCTCAGCATAGTTAAGAAAGGAGACTGAGGAGGTTTCTGGAGCAGACCAGGAAGAAGTGATGTGGGTGGGTGAGCAGAGGGGAGAGAAGCTGAGATTGGTGAGGAGGAGTGCGAGAGAGAGAGAGAGAGAGAGAGAGAGAGAGAGAGAGAGAGAGAGAGAGAGGGGGAGAG